GGAGGGGAGGGAGACAGAGGGATTAAAAGAAAGGAGGGGGCCCTCCCTGGTGGCGCAGCAGGTTAAAGCACAACACTAATAAGCTAAAGCCACTTCATCATGAGTTCAATCTCTGCCCCAGAGGTGACCCACATGGTGTGGTAGACCTCTCCTGACCTGCCCGCTGCTCCCCTCAGCAGTGTACTTTGTCTATCTGCCTGTTCTGCTCCCCACTCTTTCTCTGGTGAATCCTCTCACCGCCCTGCACCTATAGCCTGTACCTCAGTTCTGTATGAATAAATAAATCTTTTTTAAAATAAAAAAGAGAAGGAGGAAGGAAGAACACAGGGACTATGGTGATGATTCATGGGTGATGTGATGGTGAGAGATTCATGAGAACTACACCTAAGGGCAGAATCAAATATTGTCCAAAAATGAGCAATGTTGTAAGAAAATAAGTTTATAAAAAACACTCACTTGTCAATTTTGGGGATAGTATCAAAGAATGATATCCACAATTAATTGATTGCTCCTCAATTGAGGAATGTTCTCCAATGTATTTTATGAAAACATTAACATAACTACTTTTGAGATAAAGGGAATAGAAGAGGTAGCCTAGGAGAGAAGGAAGGAAACGGGCACAGTGTATGGGCTGTGCTGCTTCTCTGGTGTTCTAGAGGTTCAGGATATCTGTGGGGTTGTCAGCTGGGTTCACAGCCTGCGTTTCACTGGACCAGCTGATACTTGTTGATCCTGAAAAGCGAAGCTTTCTTTCTCCACTTTTAGTATTCTTAAGTTCAGTTTTGCTCACAACTAGTAGTAGTTTTGGCTGTCAAATCTGGGGTCAGGGTGTCACAATGGGTAGAGTCCAGGCACCTCCCTCCTACAGTAAAGTATGATCTGACTCATGGTTGAGAAACCCTGATCTCCATTATTGACTTTTTGCCAAAGCTATTTAGTTTAAATAATCAACAATGTCACAAATCAAGTACAGATCTGCAGGATTTGCCAATATCTGTGATGCACATGCACACACTGTAGCTGATTTGAAGTTACCAATTGGTATCTTCAAGTGTAATATGTAAGTAAACATTTAACTTTTAAAAATAGCTGTGTTTAGTGGCTGACTCAGAAAATTCTTGGAAAGTTAGCAGTTGGCATTTTCAGGTCAATGTGGACTGGTCTGGTACCAACTTGTCACTGAAATGTCCATCCACTTCATTACAATTTACATGTTATATTTCCTGTGTTTTACAAAGCTGGACTCAATTCCAATTTCAGTTACCTAAAAAATGGACCCTGATTGACTCAGATGGGATCAGGTACCTGCCCAAGGTGTAATCACGCAAAACAGTTTGATGAATGTGGCTGCCTCCAAAGGGAACTTTCCCTTTTTTCATGAGGAAATTTCCAGTAGTGGCATCACTATGAGTGGGCAGCAGGAGACAGTGTTACAGACACTAATGCAGGAATCCTCCTCCGCACCTACTCGTCAAGACTCTGTGCCCACCGCCTTTGTGACTCATTCCCCCCCACCCCAGAGATTCCAAAATAATATATTAGATCAGTGTTTCTCAAAGTGTGGCCCATGGATAAACTGCAGCGTTCTCACTCAATAATTTGTTCAAAAACAAATTCTTGGAACCTCAACTCTCCTGAACGAGGTATTCTGGGAACATAGATCTTCAGTCTGGGCTCTAAAAAGTGTTCCAGATTATTTTGATGCCTGCTGGAGACTAATGGCCACGGTATTAGATTACATAGCTTTGAAAAAAAGAGCTACAGAGAACCCTCCTCCCTTCACAGTTATCCTGATTAAATTTGGTATTTCCTTATTTGTCAAGAAATGACAAGCAGCTAAGGGTGGGTACTGCAGCAAAAGAAGACACACATCAAACATTCAGTGAGTTTTATTATTTCTTCCTTTAATCTCTGTGAATGTTTTATTATAACCCCATATATATTATTGCATTATATTTATTTTAAATAATTTAACATTTTAAGCTTTTATTTTTTTTTCCAAACCTCAGCTCGCTGGTAATATCCTAAGAGGCTGTTTTGTATTTGGTGTAAGCCACATAACCTAGTAATAGAGCTTACAGAAGATATTTAAATATTGATTAACTAATGATAATATTTAAAAATTGTTTAATACTTTGCTTCCTTTCACTGGCATATTTAATCTTTAATATTAATGTATTTAATATTACATTAAATATTTAATATTAACACATAATTTTCTAAAGCAGTTACATTGTAAAATTTTAAAGAATTTGAATAATTTAACTAAATAAAATAGGAAATGACCACTACCTGAAATTTTTTTCCAATTTATGAAAATTTACCAAACTGGTAAAAAGAAGAACCATCAGTGGTTGATTTGGTATTTACTTCAAATCATTTTTCTGTATATTCTACATTTATAGGCTTTTCATACCAAGTAGAGTATATGCTATATTCCTAGTCTTGTTATTCTACTTTTTCACTAAACAACATGAACATTCTTTCATCATTGAATATTTTTTGAAACATGGATTTTTTTTTAAAGATTTATTTACTTATGCATACAGAACTGGGGTACAGAATTGAGGTGCTGGGGTGGTGAGAGGCTTCACCAGAACAAACTGACTAATGAGGTACACTGCTGAGGGGTGCAGCGGGCGGGTCAGGAGAGGTCAGCCGCACCACGTGGGTCACCTCCGGGATGGGGATCAAATTCATGCTGAAGTGGATTTAGCTTCTTAGTACTGTGCCTTAACTTGCTGCGCCATCAGGGAGGGCCCTGAAAACATGGATTTTTATGTTCTGTATTATTCAGTTGTATGAAGTACAAATTACTGAACTATTTCCCCATTTTAGGACATTTAGGTTAACAAGATAACACTTAAAAAAAAAGATTTTTTATCCATACAGAACTGGGGTTCAGGCCAGATGTGCAGGGGCAGTGAGAGGACGCACCAGAGATAGAGTGGGGAACAGGACAGGTAGACTGACTAAGTACATAGCTGAGGGGAGCAGCCGGTGAGACAGGAGAGGTCTGCTGCCCTTGTGGGCCATCCCCCGGCCCAGGATTGAACTCCTGCTGAAGCAGCTGTGGTAAATTCGGTAAATTTGCAGTGCTGCACTTTAACTCATTGTGTACTTAACTCATTGTGTACTTAACTATATGCAAGACATATAGATATATATACATATGTGTGTGTATGTATATATATGTGTGTATATATATGTATGTATATATACACTTAAATACATTCTCCTTTAGCACCAGGATTGATTGGTTCTCTTAAGTATTTCTAGACTTCAATAGTCATCTTTTTTCCCATTTTATGTTGAAATGCTTACTCATACATAAGTTTGGTCATGATCTCATCTCTTTATTTTTTTAGATTTAATGATCTAATGCACATATTTATATAAACATCAAAATCAATAAAAGTCTGAAATTTAAAAGGAGTTTGTTTATTGTAGCTAATATATTATCTAATTTATACCAATTGTCTCCCATCTGGGTAGCTGTTCATGTGATTTAAACTTCCATTATTAGTATAATCATTTATGTCCACTTTTCAGTTTTTTGTGTCATGCCTAGTCTCTAAAGCAGGAAATGCTAATTATTTGATTGTTGAATTATTAGTGAGCAATATCCACTCAAGAATGTTACTCTTTATTTTTTCAAAGACCCTTTTGGTAAAAGAACGCCAAATTAAAAAGCCCTAAAAATTAGCAAAGTTACTTAGATCAGAGAGTGAATTAATATCTAATGTTGATTTATTTCTGGCATGAAATGTAAGTAACATACAGACATGAAATATATATATTGAAGTTAGAAATTCTCCATATTTTGAGGGCCCAGCTTACCCAATTTCATTGAGTAAAATAAATGATATTTCTCTCCTTTTTGAGTGGCAAATATTGTTGTTTTATGACTTAACTAAAAAAAAATTAATGGCATAGAATTAAAAGTGAATTGTGAACAGTGTTTAGTGTATTTAAAAAATTAAAATCTTGATAAGCTTTTCCTCCCCAACTCAATCTTTCTTCTTGGATTGGAGTTGAATAAAAAAACCCCAGCAGGGCCCTCCCTGGTGGCGCAGCGGGTTAAAGCACAGCACTAAGAAGCAAAAGCCACCTGCGCATGAGTTCGATCCCCGCCTGCCCCGGAGGTGACCACATGGCGTGGCAGACCTCTCCTGACCCTCCCGCTGCTCCCCTCAGCAGTGTACTTCGTCGATCTGCCTGTTCTGCTCCCCACTCTGTCTCTGGTGAAGCCTCTCGCCGCCCCTGAACCTCTGACCTGTACCCCACTTCTGTATGTGCAAATAAATAAATCTTTAAAAAAAAAAAAAAACAACCCAGCAACTCACCAACTGCTCACATTGCTTATATGCCGGTGAAAATCTTGATTACTGAACACAAAAAAATTTATTTCAGTAACCTTAGAATAAAAGCTCGTTATCAGTGTTTAAACATTCTAAAACTGAAGGTGACGAGACAAATTTATTTAATATTACTTAAATGGCTATAGATGCTTAACTTTACAGGAAATTTAATAGGCTAGCAACGAATACCGTCTTATACTGATACTTGATTTTTTTTTTCTATCCTGCCTCCTTGCTGTACACTTTAAACTAGTGATTTTGCTCAGGTTTTTTCACTTTAGTGAGAAAATTACATTACTTTTGCAAGTAACTTCGGGAACTCTGATGTGAACTGGTAAAATAAAAACCTGAACTTAACATAATTGAGTGTTATGTGAGTAGATTTTGCACTTGAGTTATCAGCTACATTAACTTATTTTTAAAAATGCAGCCGTCGACCTCTGCACAATTAAAAACACTTGTGATTCAGTCCAGCCACGTTGGTATATAGATCTCTACCTGGTAACTACTGGCGCATTACCGGAAGTCGTCGCCAGGGGGCGGGAGCCCGCAGCGGCTGCGTCAATAACAGGCGCCCGGGAACACTCTGTTCCTGCCTCTCGCTCACCTCAGCTTCCGCCGGAAGTAGCCAGTCAGTTGTTGTCCTCAGGTGTTGGAGTTTGTTATAAGTGGTGGGTTCTCTGTGGACGGTTGGGAAAAGACTTGGTGTGAGGAACTGGGAAGGGACTTCCAGGTTAAAGCCCGGCGACAAGATGGACGTTCTGAAATCAGAGATCCTCCGGAAGCGGCAGCTGGTGGAGGATAGGAATCTGTTGGTGGTGAGGATCTTTGGGTCGTGGGGCGTTTGGGTTTAGGGCGTGGGGGAGGAGGTCTAGAAGTGAAGGAAATTATTCTGAAAGGGTTTGGGGCGGAGTTGAGGCTTGGTGCGAGCTCCACCACTACCCTGGAGCGGCTCCCTCTGTAACCACCCCCTGGACACCCCATTCAGGAGCCTTAGGGATGAAAGAGTGGAAATTGCAGGAAAAGCCAGTATTTTGACAATACCTCTGACCCCAGCTGACCCTTATTCTCCTCGCAGATTCCCTGATTGCTGCTTATACCCACTCCCAGCTGTTGGTATTTTTCGGACTTCATTTTCTGTGGTCGGTCGTTCTGTCGTTTTGCTAAGAGTAAGTGCCCAGCTGAAATTAGCATCGGCAGACGTAGGATCATTCTTTTCAAATCTTTGATTCCTTCCATTAGTAAAATCCAGTTTTTTATTATATTCAGCCCCTTTCCCCAACACGTAAAAATTTATTGCTCAAGTTTTCACTCATGAGGAGGCTTAGACTGTTTTGGAGAGATACGCACTAAAAGAGAAAGAATTGGGTGATTGAAAAGCGCCCTCAAGTTGACTCATAGGTCAGTTAGAAAGCATTGATTCACTTAGAATGCTGGCATACTTCATTACATGGTATTTGAAAATTCACATTTAATACTGCTAATCTCATGAGAAACCTCTTTAATTTTTTTGGGAAAGTAAGCTCATCATGGAAGATCTAAGTTGACCACAATTTAAAATTTCACTTGAAAACTGGAATTTGATCATAGGCAACAGAAAGCAGTTGTATTCCTGAAGTGGCAAGCTCGCTTTATTCAGTTCTGGTAAGCTGTCTGCCAAATACTAAGTTTGAATAACTATGGTGTATCAGGTATTCTTTCCTAAAATGAAAAGAGTTATTCCGTGAAAAAACAGCCGGTTTACTTTGCAACACAGTCACAGAAATAACTTTTCCTTCAGACAGGCTTCATATTTTGCTGTAAATGAGAATTGCTTCATGTGTTCTGTTTTTTCACGTACACTCTTAAAAAGATGTAAAGAATCAAGACTTACTGAAGTTAATTTTACTACATCAAGATTAAATGAAACTACCCCTGCTTCAACACCCCTCCCCACTCCTTCTGTAAAGTGAAGAGTTTAGTGACAGCTGATAATGTTTAGTGCGACTGCTTTGCTCAGGTTTCAGGAGATATCGTTGCGTTTCACCTTAAGTGAAATTGTCACTTAATGAACAGAATGAACCGGCAAATAATACCTTAGTATTGAAAGTAGTTCAACTCCATGGGCTCTCAGCAGGTCCCCAAAGAGTCTGTGAACCACACTTGGAGAATATCTGATTTAGATTTTTGGACATGGTGTATAAATCATGTATGTGATTAGTTGGGATTGTTCATAATCATTGGAGCTAATTATTATTCATTAGGTAAGGTGGGGACAGCTTGTCTATATTTCTAACAATATTTTTATTTCCACCTCAGGAATCTGAGTATTTTGGGAGTATTTGAAGACACTAACTTAGATGTTAGAACACAGACTTGATGTTAGGAAGGGCAGGGTGTTGAAATGATTCTGATTTAGAAAGGAATTCTAAATGCTTTAGAGAGAAAAGTCTTGTGAAACTCAGCTCACTTGCAAGGGGAAGATTTGCAGCATGTACAGTTGCACAATCAACACAGTTGCACAATCAACTTATTTTTGGTCATTTCTAGTGGCATCCCAATTTTTATTGTGAGTCTCTGATAGTTGAAATAATAAATACTTAGCTCATGAGTGCTCCTTTGGTAAATCAAAGAACTACTAAAATTGCTGCCTATTCTCCTAAAATGCTCTGCCTGGTGTAACTACTCTGAAGTTAATTAGTATCTGCATTGCCTCAATATCAGTGTGTTGGGAGATCACTGGGGAATCCTTACTTGATGCAAAGTCCCAGTTGTGTGGTAAACCAGACTGCTGGAGGAACACAACAGGTGTAATCAGCAGTTTTATGAGTTGTCCTTTTTGAGGATGGGCTTTGTGTAGAATTTTAGCTTTGCTTTTTCCCTCAATATTTATGATTTCCTTTATGCAAATACTAAACCACAGAAGATTGAAAAAAATTCTTGATGTTTTTCTTCAAGGAGTATGCATTTAATTTCACAGAGAATATAAAAGCCACAGCCAGTATATTCTGTGCCTTTCCCCCTGTTAAAGTGGATCAAGTATCAGTCATGGCTTAGGTCACACCCCTCAGTGGCATATGGGAGCCCAACTTACCTTTGCTACCACCATCAGAAGCCTTAGTATTACTTATCCCCTTTCTCCTTGTATCTTCAGTTTCTCTACCGACTTAGCACTGAACCATATAGATGAGCATACAAAGAGGCAGCTTTGTTTTGTTTTTAAGCAACTGCCCCTTTTCTGTATGGCCAGATTTCTTAAATTTTGATTCCCACTCATTCCCTGATGTGTTTGTGCCCCCTCAGTTATTCTGAATGTTCTAATCAGGGATGACAGTTACCTCCATGTTTTCATAACTAACAGCAGCAGCATTTGACACTCTTGACCCATTCTCTTTTTTCACTCTTTTGTTGGCATCTCTTACCCCACAACTTTCGGGTTTTCATTTTTACTGCTTAGGCTGCTTATGCTTAGTTTTCCCTAACAGGCTGCTGCTGCCTTTTTTTTTTTTTTTTTTTTGTTGTTGTTGTTACAGCTTATTCCTTTCAGTGTTGATTTTCCTTGAAATTCACACCTAGGCCACTCTTCCTTTCAGTATTCTGCATTTTAATATTCATGTCTGGATTTCAGTTATCATTTTTTCCCTTCTAAAAAAGGGGAAACAAAAGAAATCTCCCCCTCTCCCCCCGGCCAAAATCCGCTATAACCCTCTCTACACTTAAGCCCACCTCACTCCTGCTTCTCCACTGGAACATCATTTTTGTCTTCATTGTACATTATTTTGTTTCATCTGCTTATCTTCCTGGTGTCCTTAATAAGCCACATATAGGTGAAATGCAGTAGTTGCCTTTATGATTTATTTTGTTTCACATAATTCCTTTAAATGTCTCCCGTTTTACTGCATGTGGTGAAATTTAATTTTTCTTATAACTAAGTAGTATTACATCATATGTATGTATATATTTTATATATATCTTTATATTTATATATATATCTTCTTGCTATATAGTGTGTGTGTATACCTTTATATATTTATCAGTGTGCACCTTAGATTGTTTCCATAACTTAGCTGTTGTATTAGGATGGAGTCTTAAATGGAGTCTTGGGATGCACTTAAGAATATCTATCTTTGAAGTTTTATTTAAAATATTAGTATGTATATATATATGCATATATACATGTCCCTTCTCCCCCCCTCCCCGGTTATATGAAAAATCTGACTCAAATCAAGAACTGCTAATTTTTTTTCATGCTGTTAAAAAAATCTTCATGTCCCTTACTCCCCAGTACTCATTTGTTCTAGCTCTACTGAATGGCTTCCATTTTTTTTCAGTTTGTTAAATTTGTTTTCTTACACTTGTTCATCCCATTACTTGAAACAGTCTTCTAATAATCCTTGCCAATGCTTCTTTTTAATATTCATTGAGGAACCTTTGAAAGTTTTTCAACAAAAATGTGTGGTCAAATACTCCAACATCCCGTATATGGAAGCTAAACAAACCAAACACATAATAGCAGTGCATAATGTATAGTTACTAGAGGCTGGGAGTGAGAGAATGGAAAAAATGTTGTTTCAGGTATGTACTTGTAAATACAAGAATATGTGCTTCTAACTAGTAGATATATAAGTTCTGGAGACATTGTAAATAGTGAAGTGATTATGTAATAAACATTAAATTTGCTAAGAGAGACTAGATCTTATTCTCAAATCTAGAAGAAATGGTAAATATTTTGAGTTAAAGGTTTTAACGAATATTGCAGTGGCAGTATATACCACTGCCACACACTATCTTGATTGCTGTAGCATTGTGGTGAATCTTCAGGTTGGATAATAAGTCGCGTACTGTAGGGTGAATGAAGTGTGCTCAGGCTTTGCGCTCTTGGCCTTTGTGGCTATCACCTGGCTTGGGAGCATGGACTCAGGGCACCCCTGCCTGACTGTGGACACCTGGAGTATGGTGTGAGGGTGCATGAATGGGCACACCTGAGCCAGGATGCTGAGCTTGCAAAGGCTGTGGGGAATGGCAGGAAGTACAGAGGAAACCACAAGAGGACACCAGAGAGAGCCAGTAGAAAGAGTCGACATTTCCCTGGGCACTCGGAGGCCTGCCATCCTCACAGGCCCCTGCATCTGGTGCCTCACTGTAAGTAGAGTAGAAAGATCATTAAATGCTTGAAAAGGCCACTGAGGGCTCCTGGATTCTCTTTACCTGTCTGCAGGAATCACCTGCCCTGTGCCTTGTTAGCACTGTAAGTACTGATTTTCTTTAAAAATTTTCCCCTCCTAATTCTTCTGACTCTTGCTGGTGGCATTTAATTTTAAAGTAGCTTTGAAGGTAAAAGTGACACAGTAAGCCACACAAAGAAAGTAACAATTTGAGTTTTGGTAAATTTATATACCTCTGAAACTACCACAGTGAAGAGAAGGAACAGGTTCATCTCTCCTCAATTTCCTTTTGCCCCTTTGTATTTCCACCTTCCTCCAGGCACCTGCAACCAGCCCCACCCCATCCACAGGCAGCCAGTGATTTTTTGTTACTTTAGTTTGTATTTTCTAGAATCTTATCTAAATGGAACCTTTCAATATGTTCTAGGCTGTTTACCTTCTTTCATTTAGCTAATTTTTATTTTCATTTGTGTACTTCTTTGTATCAATGCTTCATTATTGTGCTACTGAGTTTTCTACCATTGTATGAGTATACCGTAAGTTATTTGTGACCTGTTGGCAGGCATTTGAGTTGTTTCGCTCTTTTGGCTGTTTTCGGTGAAGATGATGTGCATATCCATGCACAGATTTTTGTGTATTTCTGTGCATGGATATGTAGGCAGGTAGGAGTAGAA